TTCAAAATGTTATGCATCTTGTTCGTGCATCTAAAAAGATTTTCATTTAGTGACAATGTTAGATAAAAAATGACATGATAAGAGCTCGCTCATAGTTCCTTTCTATGTTTCAATAAACTGCTGTAGAAATGTGATGAATAATGAACAACGTCAAGTGAAAGGTGTAATGCTTCCAGCAAGTAAAAATGTGTCGTTTTTTTCACAGTTATATATGAAAATATTTCTATTTCAATTGTTTTTAAAGTGAGCGCGAGTAACGACAAGATCCATGAGCAAGATTTTAATTTAATTACACCGTGATATCAGCGAGAAGCTACAGACACACTCTGCTCTTTAACAAGGACAACGAACCTTGTTAAGCACACTTGACAGAAATTAAGCCGGGTATCTTGGCTTATACCATGGAGGATACACAAAGCAGGGTCGTGCTTCATAGCAGGACCCAAGTAGACACCCATCCTATTGTATCTTCACCACCCAAAGTCATGCAACCATGCTTAGCCTTCTCAGTAGACAGACGGACATTATCACACTCCGCAGGTCAAATATTAAGTCGACCAAAATGTCTGGATGTGTTGACTGGACGGTACTTTCTTCTACATAGATAATTAAATGCAATGATGTGCCAAAGCATGTATTGCGCGTGTAAACACTTGCCTACTTTTTTTAACATACTCTATCCGATTCAATATTTCTGACCAAAAAAAATAAATTTTGATTCCTGTACTTGGTATGTTGCTTTATTGCGTTAAGCTGGAATATTGCTGAGTGCGGCGTTAAACAAGAAACTAACAAACAACTCCATGCACCAACATGCATAATCAAATGTAATATTGTGATGCATTCTCTGTTCTTTCATTCGAGAAATAATCTTTTGACAGAAAGAAAATCGGCAAAATAATTATTTAGATGCATTATATGAGTTCCTATAGTGAACTTTAGGTGGTGTGTGTGTGCACATAACAACTTACAGTGTGTCATGGAGATATCCCATCAGAAAGTGTTATTGAAGCTTACCACTCAATCGTATGTTCTTCTTATGTCAAAGCAGCACAAAATCGCTCATAAAATATGTGTCTGCGTTCAAAGTGGAAACTGCAGAAAGTGAAGAGAGATTAAAGGTTTCAAGGTTAACAGTGCACACTTCCGTATTTACCCCACAACTAAGTATGTCTGCCTCTGTTCACTCACGTTTACCAACAATCTGATCCCAAGTCAATACATATTGCATATGTAATTGCAGTTGAAAATATATGATGACTGTTCATTGTATAACACGTGTTATACATCAGATAGAGTTCTGTGTTCGTGATGATGATGTTTGTTGTGGTATCAGATGCTCTCCTTATATGTGACATGAGACCAAAAAAGTGTTTATTTTTAAATGAAAACTTGTCAAGAGGGTGAAAGCGAGCGGTAATTACGGGCCAATGCAGACGAGGAAGACTGCCGGGAACCACGCTCCTCCGTGACTTAGGGATACTGGAGGGTATCTGCAGACTTCGTCTACATCTCTGCAAGTCCAATTGTTGGCCAATTCTACGTGAAACCCTTTTCACTCCAACTAGCTGCTGTTCACGTAGGCTCTCTCCGCACGTGCGGCTGTGCTACGTAAATCATGCACTGATAACAATCCCAAAACATCTTTCAGTAATGATAGTTTGAGTTGGGTGACGACACCTACTACCGGAACATTAGTTGAGTCTCACCGGGTCTACACACGATGACAGCACGTCCAGCAGTTGTTCCTGCAAATATGGCAACGATGGCAAGACACTTACCTGGATTCCGGCAGCTCCATTAAAGAACTTCGTGTTTTGGAGGCTGTCACACGTCTACGCTAGTCCTGTTCACTACATACGTTAGGGGGACAGCCAGTGTTATTCTATTGACGCTACGCCACCTATCGGGGAAAGCAGCTCAACTCATCCTATTGTCTGCTGCTAGAGAGTATCCTGGGACAAGCCAATCCAAGTGAAGCACACACAGTGAGGAACTCACTCACAGTGCCGACTTGTTCAGTCACAAGACTTTCAGGCCTTTAAGACTTGACTGTGTTGAAAACAAAGTATTGTCAGTACTGATGACCGTTGTCAGCATCAATGAACACTCAAGTGCTGGCAGTATCTCTGCTGTACGATGACAATGCTGTTTCTCTCTTGCCTGCTGTTTCTGTACGTGACCAAAGCGCTGTAGAGAGTCTCCAACACCTAGGGCCGCGGTGCAAGACTTAATCTTCTCTACCTCAGAGGTGTCACATCTCTGCGCTGACTGCTCATTTTGGGAGAGAGAGCCACAGCGCATAAGCTAAAAAACCACGGCAAGCTGAAAACAGCTAGCGGGTCCCCGTATTTGTCAGTTGGTCCGATCGAAAACACGGCCCCTCAACAAATTCAAGCAAAGTTTGTTTACAAATTTGTGTCTATAGCCTCCTCATATTTACACAATGCAGGTGAGTAAACCGAGCCTTATTGTTTCATTAGTGCAAAATGCCTTAGTTTAACGTCGTTTACCTGTTTCGCCCCCGTTCTAACCAGGTGGGGTGAGGACTGAAGCCGATATTTCACAAACCAACTTCGAATTCATAAATTTTAGCCTCTCTATTGACCTGACTATTTAGACAAATTTTAGCCATCTTTAAAACAAATAGCCGCTCATGTCTGATCGCCTGTTTGTAGAATTCGGTCATGTTTGTATCGAAACCGCGCTCCGAGTTAAACTTGTGTCGCCAACTTGTGACCATAGCTCCTGATTGAAAAGAGCATGAGTAAGTACTTCCTTATTAGTGGAAATATGCACGTTTATGATTGTAGCAGATACCTTGCTCAACAACAGATAGGTAAAATAGACATCTTTAAATCTGACACACGCATATTCATAGAATGTGATATCTCGAAACTGAAAGAAAGAAAGTAATCTTTAGAGCTACAGAAACACCATCAGCAATGCCCGATGGATGAGTGTAACTTGTAGAAAAATAATAATTACATCTTACGTTAATGTGTGCTAGAAAGACAAGCAACAATAGACTATATAATTATAATTTTGAACTTGAAAGATCTGTCTATGATATACCATTCATTTACCATTAATGCATGGTCAAAGAGTTTATTAAAAATTTCAGAAATCATATATTTAAGAGGATGTCACATCCAGTTTACCAAACAGAAACTATGTAGTGTAACTATCATTTTTTCTTCCTGTTGTGTTATCGAGGTTTATGGTCAAAATGCACATAGCCAAGCAGCCGAGATTGACGCTACGTTAGGTGTTCATAGCTGGAAAGACCTTCGTGGTCAAGTGGATAGAGAGTCTGTCCGGAGAGCAGAAGGTGGGTGGTTCGATCTCCTGGCTGCGTCATACCAAAAGTCGTTAAAAGATGGTACTTGTTATCCTGCCTGGGACTCGACTAAGGGGCTAAAAAAAGTATGGCCGGCTCGGAGTCAGTATAATGTGTCTTTGTGGGGTACCTATGTTTAACCGTGGCATGTACTCTAAACCCGGTAGAATTCCGGACAAGTACAAGCAGACACACACACGTGCATGCACGTCGGTATATAAGTGCAATAATCTTGACCGCGGCGTTAAACCCACCTCACCTCACCTCACCTCATAGCCGCAGAATATCTTTGGGTTCATCTGAGAGTAAATCTGACATCTGTAGGTTGCGTTTCTCATCTTAAAAGCCAAATAGTGTCAAGTCAAACATTATTATCACTTTCAACGTAAGGTAACCAATATAATGCCTCCAAAAATGGCAGCAAACCGTGCGTGGAGTAGCCTACCCTAAGCAAAACACGTGTGGAGTTTCCATCACCTCGTCAAGTATGCAGGAGAAGTGAGGAGTTGTGCGGCCTCTGGGAATCCCGAGAGTAGAGAAATTCAACACACGCCTAGTAAAAGGTCACTCTGTTCTTGTCCCTTCGTTTCACAATGCAAGTTTGTTTCAAGTCTATTGTTTTGTGGCGACGTTATTTCCGGGTTGTGCAACGCCATAACAGGCCATATGGTATGATCTTATGTGAACACCTAGTCATCTATGTGGTAGATCCCAAGACATAAGGCCGCCTGATCTGCACACGGTTCCTTAAGGCGCACTACCTTGATTGTTGCAGCAAATCCTGCCAAAACCAGATAGATTGGGTTGTTGTAACTGGTGGTAGCCTACTGGTTGTTAAGTGGTACTGTATTGACAATTGTATTTAGAAGTCGACATCAGGAGCCAGTTTCAAGCGTCTGTGCAATCTTGATCGCAGCAACATGGGATAATATTTTCTACGTGTTCTTTCTTTACGATTACGCAGGGTGCATTCCAGATACTGATTTCAATGTTATGTTTATGAACCGTACAGGGTGCAGAGCATGTAACCTGAAGCAATTGTTTCCAGTGTCTGAAGTGCACGTGCGTCTCATCTCCACGTAGGCTCTGTGCACGGGCGATCCATCAATAACAACCCCACAAACTATGTTAATGTTCCCTGTGATTAAATGTCATGTAATAATTGTGTGTAGAGATACAATAATTATTTTTTAAAACTATGTAAGCAGTTAAGATTAAAACACACTTGATGCATGTGGTTGAAGAAGAGCTAATGGACAAAGTTACATAGAAGTTTCAGCGTTGTCATTTCGAACTTGCACTATAGTTCTTGCCATTTATAAATTAACGAAGATAGATATGTTCTAATACTTATAAAGTGAAAACACGCCATTCCGGCGAAAACTTAAATTAATGACAAAAACAGCAAAGTGAGCTTTTTAAGAAATATCCATTTTGCTAGCGATAAACATCATCATTGAGTTTTGATCACGTGGTTACAATCCTGGTTAGAGCGGCTATATTTAGTCGGAATGACTTGTCACTTTATAAATTTTAAAGCACATGCTGCTATGCTTTAATTAAAAAACGCGATTTTCGTGATTCTATTTCACGTTGCAAGAGCTGTAGTCTTGTTTTCCATCATGTTAACGATTACATATGTCACGTGCTCAACATTCAATCAGATATCATTGGCTGTAGAGTGCGGCAGGGAAACCGATCTTTGTCTTTCTTTCCCATGCTTTCTCCGTTCTTTCTCCTTACTCTCTATATTCTTGTAGCTATCCACCCTCCCTGTATTCCTGGTGCTGTCCTTGCTCCCTGTATTTTTGTCGCTCTCCATCCTCCCTGTATTCCTGTCGCTATTTATCCTCCCTGTATTCCTGGTGCTGTCCTTGCTCCCTGTATTCGTGTAGCTCTCCGCCCTCCCTGTATTCTTGTAGCTATCAACCCTCCCTGTATTCCTGGTGCTGTCCTTGCTCCCTGTATTCTTGTAGCTCTCCACCCTCCCTGTATTCCTGTCGCTATTTATCCTCCCTGTATTCCTGGTGCTGTCCTTGTTTCCTATATTCTTTTCGCTCTCCACCCTCCCTGTATTCATGGTGCTGTCCTTGCTCCCTGTATTCTTGTAGCTCGCCATTCTCCCTGTATTCATGGTGCTGTCCTTGTTTCCTATATTCTTTTCGCTCTCCACCCTCCCTGTATTCATGGTGCTGTCCTTGCTCCCTGTATTCTTGTAGCTCGCCATTCTCCCTGTATTCCTTTTGCTGTCCTTGTTTCCTATATTCTTTTCGCTCTCCATCCTCCCTGTATTCCTGTCGCTATTTATCCTCCCTGTATTCCTGGTGCTGTCCTTGCTCCCTATATTTTTGTCGCTCTCCATCCACCCTGTATTCCTGGTGCTCCCAATCCTCCCTGTATTCTTGTCGCTCTCCACCCTCCCTGTATTCTTGTAGCTCTCCACCCTCCCTGTATTCCTGGTGCTCTCAATTCTCCCTGTATTCTTGTAGCTCTCCATCCTCCCCGGATTCTTGTCGCTCTCCATCCTCCCTGTATTCCTGTCGCTCTTCATCCTCCATGTATACCTGGTACTGTCCTTGCTCCCTGTATTCTTGTAGCTCTCAATCCTCCCTGTATTCCTGTCGCTATTTATCCTCCCTGTATTCCTGGTGCTGTCCTTGCTCCCTATATTCTTGTAGCTCTCCATCCTCCCTGTATTCTTGTAGCTCTCCACCCTCCCTGTATTCCTTGTCGTTCTCCGCCCTCCCTGTATTCCTGTCGCTATTTATCCTCCCTGTATTCCTGGTGCTCTCCATCATCCCTGTATTCCTGGTGCACTCCATCCTCCCTGTATTCTTGTAGCTCTCCATCCTCCATGTATTCCTGGTGCTGTCCTTGCTCCCTGTATTCCTGGTGCTCTCAATTCTCCCTGTATTCCTGGTGCTGTCCTTGCTCCCTTTTTTTTGTCGCTCTTCACCCACCCTGTATTCCTGGTGCTCTCAATCCTCCCTGTATTTTTGTCGCTCTCCATCCTCCCTATATTCCAGTCGCTATTTACCCTCCCTGTATTCGTGGGGCTGTCCTTGCTCCCTGTATTCTTGTAGCTCTCCACCCTCCCTGTATTCATGGTGCTGTCCTTGCTCCCTGTATTTTTGTCGCTCTCCATCCTCCCTGTATTCTTGTAGCTCTCCATCCTCACTGTATTCCTGATGCTCTCCATCCTCCCTGTATTCTTGTAGCTCTCCACCCTCCCTGTATTCCTGGTGCTCTCCATCCTCCCTGTATTCCTGGTGCTCTCCATCCTCCCCGTATTCAACTGATTCCATGCAATCAGCAAGCCTGAGCATCATATCTGTTTGGTCGCATATTATGACAATCATAGGTTGCTGGGAACCTATATTCATACTCGGAATCCTTACGGGTTCCAGTTTGTTTGTTTGTTGTTTAACGCCGCACACAGCAATACTCCAGCTATATAACCGCGGTCTCTAAATAATCGAGTCTGGACAAGACAATCTTATGATTGATATCATGAGCATCGACCTACGCAACTGTGATACCATAACATGCATCAACCAAGTCAGCGAGCCTGACCACCCGATCCCGTTTGCCGCCTCTTACGACAAGCATGGGTTGCTGAAGGCTTATTGTAACCCGGATCTTCACGGGTCCTACAGGTTCCACATTAACAATACATGCGCAATGCATCCATGTACATGCATTTGTAAACAAAGAACCATCTCAAGCATGGTTGGGAAGCAATGTTTAAATACTACTCTGATATTGGAAAAGGTATACACACAACACATGCTTTTTTATGGACCACGCTTTACAGCATCACGTTCTCGCAGGCAAATGAAAAGGGAGGGGTCAAACAAGTATATTATTCAATACAGACTTTGCATCTTCGCCTGATGGTGGATAGGGTCCTGTGGACTCGTGTAAGAGCAAGATGAAGTTCCTGCAGTTTGATTTGTGGATTTGTAGACCAACGAAGACAATAACGTCTTTCATCTCATCACAAACATGCTCAATGGGTGATATGTTGGGGGATATTACCGGTCAAGGCAACACACTCACGTTATTCTATTGCAGATACTAAGTATTGCAGTATTCTGGCAACTTGTTTCTACCGGTAACGTACAGTGTTCAGATATCCAGCACAAGGGCCTTTGTAAGTGACGTTGACCGCTCCTATACCCCGACCACATGGCTGAATGTAACGTCCATCGCAAGGAATGTAAACAGGTGATCTGACGTCTGATCGGTGTGTTCATCGGTGTGCCACCCAACTAGAAAAATGTCTGAATCACTGTATCCGCTGCTGTCGGTGTTTATCCGCCAAAGTACAACGCCATACTGTCCGCCTGCTGACGATACCTTACACAGGTAAAGGAAGATCCGTACTCCACAAGTTATGACGGTGTGGTTCTGTGTGAATGACAACGTCTTATTGAGGTGGCTCTGTCACTGGCATTGTCGGGTATGAGTGTCTTTGTGCTCAAGTATTCTGTAATCATCCATATGTCCATGCTAAGTGACACAAATCCATTTGGTTGTTTCATTTAATACCATGAATTCAAACTAAATCTTTATCAAATATTTACATTAAACATTGGACAAACGGCTATGTTCAGGGTGACGGCGCTTTTTGTGCATGTGTGATATGAAATATATCAGTCTTCATTCAAGTGTTGAGTGCAGGTTTGTGCACGAGCAGCGGGTGTCCAGTCGTCGAAGTGGGCAGTTAAGAGTCCAAGGTGCCCAAACCGCTAATACAACCTTAAACCTAACACCTAACATATTTAAACTAGATTGTTTTGATAAGTATGATTTTGAAAGATATACAAGAATTGACTTGTGAGCCGCCTTGCCTGTGATGCTCGAGGTATTTCCAGAACATTTCGCACGTGCACTTCACTGTTATGTTTGTGATGTTATAAACTGCATGTCTCAAGGCAATTCATATGGGATCAACTCACACCTTACTAAAATAACTCAACGCCATACCTGTCAACTTTCACGCATTTAGCGTGAGACTCACTTTTTTCAACAAAACTCACTCTATCGCGCAATGCCACTGCAACCTTATGCCTATTCGCTAAAAACAACTTTTCGAAACATCGTGGTTTCATTTTATACCGAATTGCCTTGTTCCTCGTCGCAACTGTCATAGAACTTTTGTCATTATTTCTACATCTCTCTATTAAGACAATCTACAAAAACAAATTCAACCAGAGGGCTCCAAAATACTGGGCAAAATTGTTAAAATCACTTTCCGATCGAGGAGCGAAGATTCCCCTTCGACTCACAACCAAAGGCTTCGCCCTGGACATGACCTCGGCCTACGTATAGGGCCCCTGGAGGTTGGTTCACTCCCAGTTGTCAGACATCCCATTTGTGAGACGACCCAAACCAGTGTAACTGCCTGTCTTACCTACTAATTACTGAGCTGCTCCATACTGTGGGCAGAGTGAACTACCCCAACTCGTTGAGTGATACAGATTAACCAGATCATGATTGTGTTTTTAAGTTGCGTTCGATCTGTGCCAGGTTGCGGGTGTTTTATTAGGCAAGACTAGGAGTATTTTTTTCAGTGATACAGAATATAGGAATCTCAGTAAGGATTAATAAAAACCTTTTAACCGTTGAGTTTGTTTTGCATTATTTTCATTAAATACATTGTTAGGTAGAATAAGAACACGTTATATAAACTAAACTTCTACATAACCTGAGTATAATCTCACATGTACTATCAGTACCGGACTATATTATTTTGAGGAAATCAAGCACTATGAATAAATTTATCCTGGAAATAATTCAAATATGTGATTTCTTGTGAAGACGTCAAAATGTGTGATATATCTGGTATGATTTGTTGATTAAAATTGCATAATAAATCTCTCCTGTAAATTCCTCAAAATGTCTGTTTAATGAAAGGTAAACAGGTAACTATTACTTAACTATCCATCCTTGACTCATCCTGGTATAGGCTGTCTGACAAATAGGATGTCTGACACAATTGCGAGGATACCCCCCTGGACACTGGCTAATATAACATCTCACTAATTGAATAAATTTAGGGTTGACAGCTGTGCAACACTAACTGCCCATGTTTAATTGGCCTATAAAAACCAAACATCCCTGATCAAGAAAACAGTTTTTGATTCTACTTGTTCTTTCTTGTTCCAAGAAGCTATCAAATTATTTCAACAAACTTACATGTAAACCCGATATAACATCTACTATTATGTGTGTTGCACTGCTGTGGTCAGCTACAACAAACCAGTGGTCGTTTACATACGGAATCAATGAACATAACTGCCGCCAATATTCAATACCTTGATGTTTTATAGTGTGAGTATATCGCATTTCACTTTGACGGTTTCCCTCTGGTGATATATGTATCGAAGCCATTGGCGCTTATTGTCATCAACCTTATACGTCTGATCGCAGTTCGTTTGATCTGGCCGACATTAGGTGCGGCTGCATATAATCCGCTGAAACTGTACGGTCGTCACATATTGCTTGGCTGACAGCCGCGAATGGGCGGGGCTTAGCGGCGACTCTCACAAATTGCTTCGGCACGTTCCCCTCGTGCACCTAGCCCTCTCCCCAACAACCCGCCCATCACGCGCAGCACGAAATTGATCTGTTTAACTGGCATTAAATACTTTTGTTATTTTGGTCATATCATACTGAACTTACCTTTTCGTTTCTTTGGTGATAATATATGAAATCTTTCGCAAAAGCTGAGTAGCCATTTGAATGGCCCGCATACATGGAAGTTGCAAAGGCGTAGACAGTTTTACTGTAATGATATACCTTACCTTTTATCAATTCATTTCCAAGAGAAATAGAATGTTTGACATATAAAGACAGTTTAATAAATAGAGTCACTGTTTAATTGAAGAAATAAGATATAAAAATGAATGCAGATACAGGGTGTTTTGAAAGATGACATTCTAGTATATACTCAGTTCTCAGATCCCAGTATGGGCAAACAAATATAAAATACATTTCCGTTTCTGTTGCTGACTTACATAATGGGCATAACCTCTTAGTTGTATCAATGCACAATTCCAGTCCTTTATCAATCATGTTTTATATGCTATTGTAAACAGCTATCTTTCTGCCCTTAAACGTTCTGTACGAGTCATAACGTGAACTGCATTCTAAGTGGAAAGCCATTATTGGTACGACATACATTAACATGCACTGCGTTAACAGACTGGACAGGAACGTGTTCCACGTCGTGGTTTACTTCACCCACTGATTGATTTAACCGAAGCCTGTTGCATGAGAGCACAAAAGGTTTCTAATCCCCGATACCCATGTTGCTTTACCCAAATTATCTGAGTCTATTATAAGCTAATTTTGTGGGTCTTCGTTCATGCTTACTGAGACTATTAAACCATTGTTTTAACCATCTAATCTGAGACTTGATATACACCGGATATCTACCACATTCTTCATAAACTGTTGGCTATTGATGGTCCAACGGACAAAAACTATTTGCAGGCTAAAAGATTCACTTATAAAAAATGAAAGATGAAAAACGAAGGAGCGCTAATTTCCATTTCCACCCCCTCGGTCTCCCCGACCATTGACCATCTCCCCGCCTTTCTACACCTCTGATTCTCCCAAATACCAAAATACCCTCTCTCTGTGTCTCCTAAACCCTTGCCATATACCCTCCATCGGCTC